AACTTCCTATGGTCTAAATCTTAAGACCATTGTCTTAAAACATAAGATTGTGTAGAATTTCTAAAATTAATCTTAGTCTAAGCAAGTTTAGTGCAGTTTATTTTTCTAAAACAATATGGAAACTGACTTTCAGATTAACATCTATTTAAAATATTTTCTAATGTTCAACACAATCTTACATTTTAAGGAAACAGTCATACAGCGAAGATCATGGAACATTTGGGGCCTTGATTTCTTACTGATGCAGTGTAGAAAAGTGAACTGTTTGACACCAGCAAAGCCCAGCATGGGTGCCCGGATGGAGCCAGTAGTATAGAAACATTGTAACTTCTATGCACTTTGACAAGCCTAATAGGCATTTTTATTGGCAATCATGAATTTTATTTGGGGAGTAGTACAAAACACTTTGCTGCCAGAAATGCCCGATATTCCACAACTCTTTATACATCACAGCAGGATCACTAACATTAGTTGTCTGAGGAATTGTTTGCCTAGGATTCCTATTCAATGGTTGTGTAGTTAATATTTATGCTACGGCTCGAACAGTAGTAGTTCTTTCGCATTCCATAAACGTGCATCAAGCTTCAATCCATGCTTAACCATACATAGGCCTATTTTAATTGATAGTTTTATAAAGTCAAACTTTCCACTCTTTTATAAGCGTCTGGTTGTTCCTCTGGAACCTTCTTTGGGCTGAAATTTCTATGATTCCATCACCCTGCTCTCCTTAGCGTTTTGCCCACAAGATATACAGTCAAATCCTCTTTATAGTATATACCATGAAGAGTTTTGAGATGTCTCAACAGCGAGTATTATTATATCTGATCTCATGTTCAGAAGAAACTTTAAATTAGAAAGTACATACAAAAAATTTCCAAATATATGACTGAAATAACTTGCACTTATGTAGAAACGTTCAAGTAGGATGACCAACTCAAAAGTGTTTCATACAGACAATGGGAATCGCTGAGCAAAGAAGAAAGGAGGTACATTGAATGATGTTAATAAAAGGGAAAGTCAAATGATGAGTTTTTAAAGAGGATCATGAAATTTGGGGGAGGAGGACACAAAGCAGAAGGACTTTGGGGGAACGTTCCAGAGAGCAGATGTTTTTAGGGGTTTAAGGATTGGCCACTAACAGGCAGCAAGGAATCAGTTGGAAGTGCCTTTAAGTACCACTATAAAACTTTTTCCAATTTAAAATTCAGGTAAGAGAAATAAGTTGTAAATCAGCATTGAAATGGATTAACATATCCAATGTGTGTCTTAATCAGAAATGCATTTATAGGTGAGAAACAGAACTTCCTCTGTTGAAAATACTCTATGGCAGCAGGCACCTCTGATACCATGCTGTGATTATCTAAGCGAAAGCCTCAACTGTGAGTGGTGTCAGGCTATTGCAGGAGGCCTCACAAACAAAGTTGGTGTCTTCAACTCTCAGAAAACCCGAGCACCTTCTAGACCCAGTCTCTAAATAACAATCAGGAGCAGGATGATCAATTGGTTGATTACCCCACCCAGAGGAAGACTGATGCCAAATGTACCACTACATGTCTGAGATCAGCTACTCAGCACAGGCATTCAAACCGCAAACCGTTCAGTCTGTGTGGCCTGGTGCTGTATGAGCCATGGTATTTACCCACTAGGCCATCAGCAGAGCTGCCAGAAATTAATTTATTGCAGCCAACCCAAGGATGTAGTTTCATGGGAGGAAAACTGTTGCTCAGTCAAATTATAAATAGTTTCGGTCTGAAGTTTTTTTTAATACAAATCTGATCCACTAATAGTCGGTTTTCAAATATCTCCAGTCTTGGACATCAATTTTATATTGCAGCATATTTTCCTTCACGGCCTTTATGAAACATTTTGTTTACCCATTGAGTACTGAAAGAAGTACAAAGAAGTAGTTTGAAAGAAGTACAATACATTCATAAAGCATCTTTCACGTTAGGATAACTGAAAACCCTTCACAACGCTGGATAGGCACCTGAGCTGGTAGGTGGGAGCTGAGTGGGGAGGGGAGAGATGACCAGAAGCAAGGTCAAAAAAAAATCTTGAGATATGGCTTGAACCAGGGGAAAAAAAGGAGCAAGTCCGAGGTAGGGGCTCCAAAGAACAAGGGCAGACTGGTTGAAGGCCAGTCGGCCCACCAATGGTGGAGTAAATAGGGTAGGAAACATGAAACAGGTTGGTGCCCACTCAGTGAATGGGTCAGTGTGGTTGAAACAGGTACATTAAACAATGCTTTTCCATTCAGCCCACCTGAATACCTTTTTTCATCAATGCCATTTATTGTTTCCTCTGAAATGTATAGTGATGCTTCAAGTTGCAGAGGAAAACAGTCCCTTCAAATATGTGTTCCCTGTTACCAGCTGTGTACAAGATCTACTGTACAAATTTGTATTGTAAGGGTTGACCTTAAAATACAAATTTGTATTGACCTTCCCAATGCACAGCATGTGCAAGAATGATTTTGCTAACCATAAATTTCTGCAGGATTGCTTGATTGCTGCAATTCAATGAATTTATGGGATATGGAATAGAGGAGAGAAGTGTGATTAGAGTAGACACGGTAGTTTTGGTTGGGAGTTCGAACAGGAAAGACTGGCCAAATTGTTTCCTTCTGTGCTGAAAATTTCTGATTTTGCAAATCACAATTATAGTATTTTTTCTCTCTCCCAGCTTAGTGGGGTAGAGTCTCCTAACACTTAACTATGTCATAAAATGGTAGCACACATCATAAAATATTTACAGATTATATAAAAGGCCTATTCCAAAATGTTTGGTGGACTGTCTCCAGATCCCTTTAGAAAATTAAATTTTGAACAGAATTTTTTTTGAATGTCACGCAACATTTCAATAACATTAAAAATAAAAACTCAATTTCAGAACTGTTATGCAAAATGTCAAAATCGTCATTTGCTTTTAATCTTACAGTCTGATTCAAATGTACAGTGGAAAGTACAAACCAGCTTCCTGATATACTGTATGCTGAAAATGAAGTGGCTTTGCTATCAGTAGTATAAAGAGAGTAAAAGTGCTAAGTTTTAAGTGAGACCCCCAAATGCTGAACAAGGGGTAAGGTAGCATGCATGGAACCAGCCATCAAGGCATATTGTGCTACATGGTTGATTTGATTATATGCACAAGTTTTTTTTTAAAAAAAGAATCGCTTATTTTGTTCTTGTGCAACAAACGGTATGTAGATTTTCTTCCTTTTCATGCAAGGGAAACTTGCTCTTACCTACTCTTCACAAATGAATATTACATATTGAATATTGGCAACTGAGGGTAGATAAATGGCAGAATAATGTGCTGCAACTTTGTACAGTTGATAGGAGTTTATGGCTCACTACGTTGAAACCAAAACTTTTTGTTTTGCATCACTTGTTACTGTGAAAGTGACTGACTGCCATTCAGAGTAATAATGATCTTTGCATTTGATATTGCATCTTATCATGTCTTCGAGATGTCTCAAAGCACTTCACAGAATATATATATGTAATTCCATAAAGGCAATCTCTCAAAGAGAAGCAGTAGGAACAGAGGAACAGCTACACGAAAAAGACCAAGGACCATCTATCATTCTGGTAGTCACATCCTACAATAATGGCGATCTTAATAGCATGGATTAGTCACTTTGTATGAATTAGTCAGTATGGCAAATCTGGGAGAGAGAGGAAAGAGAAGAGCAAGGTAAAAAACAGCAGCATCAGTTTGTTAGTATAAAACAAATCATGTTTTTACTCTCTTTTACTCTGAAGCAGGCTGGAGCCCGTTGAGCGGAGCGAGTGGGCAGGATGGTAGGGGGTTAGCAGGTCGCAGAGGTAGAGGAGAGCAAGGCCATCTAGGGCTTTGAAGGTGAGATCCAGGATCTTGAACTGTATCCTCTGTGTAATGGGAGGCCAATGGTGTTGGGCAGGACGGGGGTGATAGGGTCACGGAGCCTGGTGTGGGAAAGGACATGTGGTGCAAAGTTCTGGATGATCTGCAGCTTATGGAGGGAGGAGTTGGGGAGGCTGACAAGCAAGGCGTGCGGTGTGAGACAGTGGTGGAGCCAGGCGATATTGCGAAGGTGGGGGAAGGTAGAGCGAGTCATGGCACAGATGTCAGGTAGAAAGGATAATCGAGGGTCAAAAAAGATGCCAAGGTTCCGGACTGGCTTATTAAGGTGGAGTGTGCATCCTTGGATGGTGATGCTGTCCGTGTGGAGGCATTGAATGAACAAATCAGGAGACCCTCAATCTTGTTGACGTTCAACTGAAGAAAGTTAGCTCTCATCCAGGACTTGATGTCAAATCATTCAGAACGACACATTGATTGCTGTCTGCTGCTTGTCAAGCTAGGATATTTACTTTCATAGTTATCAACAACTGAATGGGAAGAATCTGAATATCTATTGTAATATAGCATAAGAATTTCTCCCATCCTCATACCTATGAAAATTAGTATCTTCAGATTCATCTAGGTTTAAATTTAATTAAAAAAAAGTCATTTTCATTCAGTTTGGTAAAAGTAGGAATAAACTCTTCAAACTGCAACAACAAATTCACAGCTACTGTAATGATGCTCTATTATCAAAATGCAGTACATCAATATGGATGTAAAGATAAATACAATTGATAAACATTGAAGAAAGTCTCTTAACCGCAAGTGACGAGTGTCATTGACCAAAAAGATTTAAGCAACATTTACTGCCAAAAATAGTTTCAAAATTTGCACACTGTGAATTAAGTGGATTTAATTCTGTTGCTCATTCAGTTCTTCGACAGCAATGACACTATCACCTGAGCACATGTTCACAAATTCACGTTCACAAAATTGCCTCTGTTAACTGACTTTAAAAGTTACATGCAGACATCACGTTTGAAATCAAATCAATAAACTCTCTTTTATTGCACTATGCTTGTGGACAATGTAAATAGTACTTCTGTTCAGGTCCCCGAAGCTGCAAGCAATTTGGTACTTTATGAAATAAAGACATGTTAGAGATGACTTACTTTTCCTTAAGAATAACTTTGCTTTCCTTTTTCCAATACTCTTTGAAGTCTGTACAGAACTCATGCCACACAGTGAAGAAATGATTTGGAGTGACTTCTTTATCTCCTGACTTTGGCTTCATGGTAAAGTACGCTGCCATTTCCAGGAAGCTGTCAAAGAAACACAACGGGGTCAAAATGCAAATATAGTATGAACAAGTCTTTCAATCGCCCAAAGGGAATCAGAAGAACTGGAAACATGCAGCCAGAAACTGCAAAGAAACCCACTGCTGACAAATATATTTGATATCAATTAAATTAGCATAACTTTCTTTGTGCAATTCAAATTAAGTTAAACTCAAAATCAGATACAATGAAAGTTGGGCACTTATGTCTCTTTCATAACAAGTTGCTACAGCCAGCAGCAATCACCACTGGAAGCATGCCAGATTGATCCAATGAGATGTTTGATGCAATTCATTTGTTCCAAGCTATTTGCCAAATTTCATCTCATTTAAAACAAAAATCAAGAAACACAGGTTATTCTCCTTTAGTACCAGTATTTTTCAAATTATGTCATCCACCACATATCACTGGTAAGCCTGACAATATAATTGAAAACCTCAGGATTCACTCAAGTATTTTTATGAGATTTCTTTTATCCTGCATGTTTTGTACATGTAATGAAAACCATATTGTCCAGCTCACCTTATGCAAAATGAGAGCCAAACTAAGTTGAAACCAGGAATTTGAGGTCCACATGGTGTGGTGAGAAAGACAAGTTGATCAAAGGTTGTTCCCAAGTTATTTATTTTTTTCTAAAACAAATTCCATCTAATTCCGCTCCCTACACTTTATTTTGAAGGCAGGCTGGACAAGGCTTGCACAGTCTACTAACTATCCTTTGGTACTGTGTTCAAATGGTGAGCACAATGAGATACTACCCCAGGTGTAAGTGCAAATTGTTGTTATTTAATGGTGGGCCAGTGGTCAGATTCAAGCCTGATCATTTACTCACCAGATCATTTTCTCACCAGATGGTTACAGATTTGCTGATGACTGGGCAGCAAACGGGAGCAGTAACCTTGACTGATTTCCCTCATGCCTGGCTTAGGTACAGATAAACTAAATGTAGCATTCCTATTGCCATCTGTTTGAGATAATTCAGTACAAATCAGATCTGAGGTCTTTCAGGTTTGTGTGGCTGAGTACCATAATGGACACCCGAGCCATCAGGTGAACAACAACAAATTACACTCAGTCATCCTTTTCAGCACAAAATTCAATAGATGACTTCTGCACAACAAGTGCAGAAAGCAGGCATCTCTCAGCAATGCCATCACTGAGAGAACTTCTGTTCTATCCCAATGGCAAATTATATAGCATTGACTTGGTGTGTGCTAAAATTGACTTGATGGGTTGTTGAATGCCCTAATAGTGGCCATCACTTTGCACACAATCTCTTCCCATAAAATTGCTAAGGTGTCAATACTGAATAGTGCACCGTGCCAGAATTTCATTTGTTTTAAGATCGTATCCTATGAATTTAGCAGAACAGTCTCCAAACCTCTAAAAAGAAGTTTTTCTGCATCTGATACAGATGACTTGAAATGATGCCTATTCTTTCAGATCGCCTTGCATAGAAAGGAAGATTGTACATACAATACAATTCACAATCTCCACTGAGAAAGCACTTTCACATCGGGAGGACATCCCAAAGATTTAATTGATAGGATATGGACATTCAGAGCCAAGGTTCCATAGTGTCCAATCCTGGAGCACTGAATCTGTTTTTGAAACAAATCCAGTGTCCTTTCCTTAACCACCCTTCCTGGCAACCTGTTCCAATTGCTAATTACCCTCTGAGTGAAGAAATACTCCTGGTATGTGTCCTGAAGTTGTCCTTTGTAACTCTAAACCTATGCCCTCTTATTCTAATGTACTGGTGCATTCTGAAGTATTGATCAGGTTTGACTTTTTCAAACCCATTTAAAAATTTATATACCTCTGAGTTCTGTTCTGGAGCTAATCTGAACTGGAGCCATTTACTATAATTCCATTCATTCACTTACTCTATGTTACTCTAATACTTTAAACAAGATTTTAAGAATAGTTCAATTGCATCTCTTGATCGATCCTTCCTTTGGTCTCCTATTCTCTCTCAATTTTTATTTAACTTAAGTTTTACTTAATTTCTATTCAACTCCACAAATATTTGTAAGTGGAACGAACCAAATAAAATGAGCCTATATAATAATTAAATATAATAATGATCCTTGCATTTGATATAGTACATTTCTCCTCAAGAGGACAATTCATAGGAGTTACTGTAAAGTGTAGTGACTGTATTTTGGAGGCAAACACAGCAGCCAGTTTGCACACATCAATGTCTATTTGATTGATGTATTACTAGCTGCAACATTTTTAAATAAAATTGAGGCCTGAGGGTGGAAGTTTCAATATTGCATTGTCACAGCACACAAGTAATAGTACACATTTTTTCTACTCACAAACCTTGGTGAATACTGTATCTAATTTTAACAGTTAAAGTATCAAGGAAAGTTTGGAAAATGATTGTGCAATTTTCTTTAGGAACCTTAAAACACCTGGTTCAGATGACAAGTGATAACATGTGCTACCAGACCTGGGATACTGAAGGGGGCATTTGGTTGTGACTATGCAGCCAGGTGAAAAAGAGTTACTTGTCAATGTGGATAGAAAAATGTACACTGGAGAGACAGTGTACATTGCTACTATAAATGCATGCACTGATAATGTTCCAAGTGGAACCTTTCCATGTTTACAAAGAGACTGAACTGTCTGTAAATGGAGGCTGTCTGCTGAAGAGGTCTTTCTGGCTTATTCCCAAGTTTCACCGACATCACATTATAATAATCATAATACTTGCATTTGGTGCAGTACCTTTCACATCAGGAGGACATCCCAAAGCGCTTTGCAGGATTTACTATGAAGTGGAGCGTTTGTGCACTGTGAACATACAGGTCCTTCAGATGTAGGTGTAGCTCTCTTCTAAACACCAGGTTGTTAAAAATAACATTGTGGCTTGGGGATACATACCACAAGTAGTGTATCTTCGATTGGTAACATACGAATGCTATGTGAATTGGAGAGAGAACAAAACGTTTCTTGCCCAGGGGCCCCAAAGCCTATGCTCTTGCCCATATCTAAAAATTAATAAACTTATAGGGGTATGGGGAAAAAGCAGGTAAATAGGACTGAAAGGATTTGCTCTTTAATGAGATAACATAAACATGATGGGCCAAATGGCTTTCTTCTGTGATGTAAATTTCTATTTTTCTGATACCACCACCACCGTTTCCCTGGGTGAACGGAGTTACCAATGTAACATAGTCCAGGCTGAATACATGAACCCTCTTTGCTTCAAATATTCATAGAATAAAGTTGTTAATGGAGTCCTGTAGCTCAGTGGTTAGAACACTCGCCTCACAAGCAAGAGACCTGGGTTTGATTCCCGCCAGGCCGAAATGTTAGGCAAGTTTCCTTAATCCACACGACTCTATTTACTTAGCAGTAAGTAGGAACCTGGTTGTTAGTTGATTGATGGGTCGCTTTTCCGAGGGTAATAATTCCTTCAGAAAATAATAATTTGGTCACTCAATCCACCACTGTTTGTCGGACACTGCTGTGCACAGTTGTCTGCCGTGAATCTCCCAATAAATAAATAGTCAATTCACTTTACAGTATATTCTGTGAAGCCCTTTGAGATGTCTCGAAGACATGATAAGGTGCTACATCAAATGTAAGGATTATTATTAATGGATGCTTCTTTTGAAAAAAAGACTTGGGATAAGATGCACCAAATATCCTGTAAACTCTTCATTACAGGGACAATGGAAAATCATAAATAATTGAATAATGAAATTCACATGCAAATGCTGACAATGCCAACTGCTGATACACGGGCAGAAATTGGCAATTATAACATAAAACTAGCGAAACACCTTATACACTGAATGAGTCCTATAATTGAGGCACAAAATAATAAACCACAATTGTGAATTGATAGTTCCTGCCCTATTCATAAACTGAACATCAGAAACATAGCTCAATAGTTGCATATTTTTCCATAAACACAAGAAACCGCAGCCGCGAAACTCTCTTCCAGTGTATACTGTGCTGTGCGAAATATATCCTAAGTGAGTTTGATTCAAACCAGCACCAATTCTGCTTGCATAATTCACCCAATGTCAAAAAGAGGTCAGAATTCTGCCACGTTTTGCGAAACCCAATTGATATTATCAATCGTATAAAAGACAGTGAGTGGTTACAATTCACAATCTACAAAGAGAACAGAAGAGAATTTCCAAGGCAATTGATCACGTTTTATATTTTTATATTCTAAACGTAAAAATCAAATAAACAAACTCTTAAAACAAGTTGATCCTGGTACAACATGGCGATTTGAGACCATAAACTCTGACTCTGCATTATAGTGGAGTAAGGTGATGTGAACGATGCTCCTGGGCAGAAAGCTGACTACTGCACGACACATCACCCAGTTATAGATAAATACAGATGTGATTCGCAAATTGTCATGTCTCATGCTGCACTTGGAAAATTTCTTATCTCTTTTTCTCTCACCAAAATTGCCCGTTTCTTAGACTTTAAAAGTTGTCTGGATATTGTGACTGTGGCAAGGAATCACTGGTTCACTGGATACTGACAACAATCACATTTGCAGTGAATATTCAGATAGGGGCACAAACTGCTGGACTATTTGTTTTGGCCTCATTTTTTAAAAAAATTTCACATACTGGCGATGAAGCACATTTGACTGGACATAAAATCTGCTTTAGTGAAACATGCTTTTTTCAAAAATTTTAAATTACACACATGGCTGTTGTATATTCTGTGAAGCGCTTTGAGATGTCTCGAAGATGTGATAAGGCGCTATATCAAATGCAACGATTATTATTTATAATTACATGTAGTATGTTGAAACAATCAAGTCAATTCACATTTGCCTACAAAGTACAGCCATAATACTCTACTTTGAGAGGCTTTGAGACATCCTGCCGTCATAAAAGGTGTTACATCAAATGTAAGGATTATTGTTATAATTTACATTTCCTCCTTTTCAAATAAACTATAAGAAATGCCACCATGATAAACATTAATGGAGATAAGCC